AAAAAAAAAAACCGAAACCGAACCGAAATACCGAATGCCCAGCCCTAGTATAAATGCAATATAAAACGGCGTGCTGCACCTTGTTTTTCAACTAACTTTGTAGAATAACTATAAGCATTCAATTTCATCTTTCATCATTCATGAATATATAGAATAATAATTCTATAGAATATATCAAAATATGCTCTCACTTAGTGGAAACTCCAAAAGTTGTAATATTTCATACGTAATGTAATTGTCATAAATGGAATGAGAATGTGAATGCCACTCCAACATGTAGATAAAAAGTAGAATATGTATGTCCCCCTAGGTATATATGGCACATATATATTTTTTATCGCATGTAGTATGTGAACTTGTATTATTATGTTTTATAAAGTTTTTTAATTGCTCTCCTATTTTGATGTGAATTCATCTAATCAAGGTAGGGAAAATTGTATGAAATAACAAATTATTAATTCAAATTAAATGTTGTCATAGTTTATTTTATTTGTAATTCGCAGCAAATATCCTATTTTTTTGTCACCTAATTCAGTATACAATTAGTCATTTTCGATATACAATTAGCCATTTTATACATTTTCGGTAATAAAATGTATAAAATGTGTTTGTGTTAGTATAAAGCGAGAGAAAAGTGTAATATACAAATACAAATACATATATTTTCGTCATATACACTTATAATTATACAAATTACAATGTATAAATGAATTTATACAAAACTGAACAATTTATATAAAATTGGATGTATCTAGTGAATTATACAAATCAAAAGCTCCATAGCAAACATAAAATTTGTTATGGAGCGCAATTATGCAAACTATAGCTATAACATACAAATATGATTTTTATGTTTGCTATATGTGAAAGTTGAGCAATAAGGTATTACATATGGAGAAACTACATAATTAGATATATTATATATCATTATCATATATATACTATTATTACTTAAATTTTTAAAATATTTTGTATTTTATCACTAATTAAGTGTTTCTTACCATACATTGAAGAAGGTTGTCTTGATACATGTTTTTTTCTACTAGATACACTAAAATAGGGAAAGAGGCGAGCGAGATTTGTTATATATCTCAAATACATGTGAATCATACTAGAAATAATATGCATTTAGTATGATTCACATGTATCTAATAGGAAAGTGGTGAGCGAGATGGGAAAGAGGCAAGCGAGATTTGTTAT